TCTTCAGAAAGTGTGATCTTCATCTTTTGTGTTTTTCAGAGAACACAAACCTTGTTCTTCAGTTTTTTGGAAGTTCTTGAAAAACCTGTTCTCTGAAGAACAAGTTGTCCCCTATAGGGATCAAAAAGCTTAAAGAACAAAGATTTTGTTCTTCAGAAAACTGAAGATTCTTGTTGTACAAATCTTCGGAGAACACATATATGATCTCCATAGGGGACAAATGAAGATCATTTTTTTTGTTTTTTGAAGAACACAGATTTTTAACAGTGTATGAGCACTTTTCGTCAAATGATGCTACTCGACGAAAAGTCATTCAACGAAAAAGACTGCAGTCTTCTTATTTATCAAAACGACTTACGATCTATGACTTTCATGGAAGACGTATCGAAAAAATATAGTTCAGATAAGTGTCCGATAACTTCTCTTTCGACAATTACGTCTATTACACTGTAATTTGAAATTATTTTCTGCTTTATAGAAAATCGATCGGGAAAATCGCCAAGGATTTTCCCAGTTTTATAAAATTCTCAGCGATTTTCTGACTGTTTAGAAAATGTTGATTTTCTACTTTATAGTAAATCCGCTTAGTTTTCTATGAATTGACTTTTCTCATTCGCCAGCAAATCGATAAGGAATTTCTTTAATAACGGTGAAAAAGTTTCTTCAGCCATTTTCACTTTGCAAGTCTCTGATTATCAGCATTCTCACTCAAATTGTTCTTCCTCATCAGCTAGAAAATCACCTTTTCTAGGAGGATTTTCTAGAAAGTAGAAAATAATTCGACTTTTTGATTTTCGAGAAGTCCATATATAAAATCCCGAGGATTTTATATAAATAATTCCCAATAATGTAGAAAATCAATGTCGATTTTTCAACTTTCTTGAAAATCGAGCTGAATTTTCTATAAATAACGAAACCCAAAACGGTTTCGAAATGGTTGTACTTCTCTATAACCGTTTAGGTTTCGTAGTAAACCTATTTTGTTCAGAGAGTATAGGGTATGAGCACATGCAACCATAATCCATGTGAAAAGGTTGAAATAGGTATTGATACCAATATTTAATAAACAACGAGAAAATTGGCTCTTAGTAAAGTCTTTTGACGAAAACCGGGGATGCGCCATCGGTTGCACAAATAAAACCGCGTTTCGGCTTAACGTTCAAAAAACAGGTGATAGATCAGACTACCCCTAGTATTGATTTAAAAAAAGCTGAGAAACGGAAATTTATTGTTTATAAGTGTTCGAACAAAACCGAGAATACATCCTATAGGTTGTGCTAAACTAGAGACTACGGGTGTTGAGTACGAGCTAATACAATATAACCTAAAAAGGATCAAAGGAATGTCTCTTTTTTTTGTGAAGGTGAAGAGTGCTGGAGAAGCTCTTATCAGAGATGCAACCGGACCGGGCGACTGGGCGCCCGTTCCCGATGCAGTCCAGTTGAGACATATCAACCGGCCGGTTGGATCGGGACCGGTCAACTTGGCTTATAACTAGAAAATATGACAGATAATAGCATATTTATATCGAACAGAAAGCAGAAAACACCGGTCGCCTACCAGTCAAATTTTTGAAAAATGACCGGTCCGGTCCAGTCCGATCGCGCCGGTCACCGATGACTGGCCAGTACCGGTCAAGATTTTATCGACCGGTTGCATCTCTGGCTCTTATATTTAAAATAGATTTGAGTTCTGATAAAAACAGAAAATGACTGACGTTCCGCATAAGGTTCGACGGCGATGATAAAAGGCATAGAAGGATGGATTTTAGAATGACAGAAACTGATGACTTTTATGAAGCAGAAATGATATTGATGCACGAGTGTGATGTTTTATGTTGCATCATCAATTGCGTATACTATTTCGACTGAGAACGTAATGATTCTCGAATTCTTCTTACTTTGAAGTATATATTTTCTGATCAGATAAGTATCTGGTAACTTTCCTTCCTGTAAATGATGTCTGTCAATTCCTTTCAAGCTGAAAATAAATTACACTGTAAAGTTGGGAATTATTCATAGAAAATGCTCGGCGATTTTCAAAAAGTTCGTATATGAAATCCTCACGGATTGTGCAGATTATAGAAAATCGAATTTCTAATAATGTTGAAAATCGAAATTTTCTACATTGCTGGGAATTATTTTTGGAAAATCAATCGATTTTCTAAAAATTAGAAAATTGCTGTCGATTTTTCAACTTTTTAGAAATTCCTTATCGATTTTCTAGCAAATGAGAAAAGTCAATTCATAGAAAATCGAGCGGATTTACTGTAAAGTATTTACTGTAAACATTTTCTAAACAGTCAGAAAACCGCTGAGGATTTCATAAAAGTTGGAAAATCCTTGGCGATTTTCTATAAAATAGAAAATAATTTCAAATTATAGTGTACGTATTCTCTGAACATTTAGACTGATGATTATGACATCTTTGGAATTAATACCTGACTAAACGTTTTAATTACTTATCTAACACAGTAATTAAAAAGTAATAGTAAGACTGCCACCTCCACGGTATGAAACATCTAAAATATAGTAAATATCAAAGTGTTTTGAACCAATTTTGGGTGAGTTAGGAATATTTTAGTTATGCATGAAAACAGTTCAAAACGGGCGACACTCATCTAAAGCAGGTTTTCATTAAAATATAAAAGATTTTTAATTAACACAAACACTATAACCCAAGTGAGAGCTGTCGATAATCTATTTAATTGCTTTCGTGATTTCCAGGTTTCGCAGAAGAAAGTCGAGCATACGCAAACTGTGATAGATTCAAAGACCTCTTAGATGTGAAGAGCAGCTGCCCCTCCATCTAGATATGTAGCTTGAACAAAACACTGAATATTTTTTTGTAAAACAGCAATCTTTCAGATTTCATTTGATGACGTATTTGAAGTGAAATTTGAAACTGATCTTCTGTGGGCATAGAACTCCAAGTTTGTGCTATATAATGGCAAAAATCGCAGGTCTATATCACTTTACTTTCTGAATATATTTAAAGAATGAGAAAATTTATTATTTTATATTCAGAAAACGATGGTTGACCTGGATAAACAAAGACGGAGAATGCAGGATAGATTCTTTTTTTGGATCATCCAAAATTCTTCATTAATAACTAAAGTTCTATATTCGTTTCGATTCACAGCCTGTACACATAATTTATAGAAATTGAAAGCTTGGAAAAGAATGCCACCTTGTGACTGGATTGAAAATAAGAACATAGAAAATTGTATGTCTGAAAAATGAGTTGGAAATTAAAAAAGAAATGTTCAGATTAAAAGAAACGTTGAATTTAAAAACTGAGGAATTCATAGTGGACCCGCAGGTCAACTATCGCCTGGATCCGTAATCCGCATTAATTCGTTATTATCACAAACAAACCACGGCTGAAGATACCAGGAGTAGTTTGAAAAACAATAATAAACCACTTTTATCACATCACATACTCACCAACAGTTCCGAACGATTATTGTGTAAATCGATCCGACAATCCAGACCTCCTACACTTACTCATCCACAAAATACAGTAATGAGTGATACACTAGATTCAATTTTACAACAGTGTCACAGGGATATGATGAAGACTGTGGAATTTGCCGGTGATGAGTCGGAGACTGCCCACAATTTTTTAATGAAATTAAAGCTGTTGGAGAAATGACAAATCAAATCGATACAATGTTACTTTTAATGGCAATATCTAAACTAACAGGGTCTGCACGACAGTGGTACATTGATAATAAATCACCAATTAAAACATGGAGTACATTACAACAGGAAATGATCCAACGTTTTAAACGAACAACATCATCAATAAAAACTCTACCACATTTCAATCACATTTTCATCTATCTATGAATATTTCAAATGTCTATGATCATGTTACAAGTCTCAATTGAAAAACAGCCCGATCCTCAGGCTACACAGTTGCTCGAATGTCAGCACTTGTTAACCCTTAGTTCATTTTCATTGGTCCTTCAACTGCTTTGGCCGCTTCTTCCGATATACTGTTATTTCCATGATCAAGACTTGCTAATGTTCTGTTCATTTTCAATCCCACTTCAACTGATTTCGACCACTCGCTCGATATAGTGCCATCTCCAATATAAAGTGTTGCTAATGTTTTATTCATCTTCAATGCTTCTTCGACTGCTTTGATCCCTATAGATAATATACTGTTATCTCGAATATTAAGAGTTGTTATTGTTGAATTCACTTTCAATGCTTCAGCAATTGCTATGGTCCCATCATCCGATAAACCGTTTCTTTCAATATTAAGAGTTGTTAATGTTGAATTTACTTTTAGTGCTTCTCCAATTGCTTTGGCCCCTTCACCCCATATACTATTAATTCCAACATCAAGACTTGTTATCGTTGAATTTACTGTCAATGCGTCTGCAATTGCTTTGGCCCCTTCATCCGATATACTATNCCTTCATCCGATATACTATTGTTTTCAATATTAAGAGTTGTTAATGTTGAATTTACTTTCAGTGCTTCTGCAATTGCTTTGGCCCCTTCATCCGATATACCGTTTCTTTCAATATTAAGAGTTGTTAATGTTGAATTCACTTTCAATGCTTCAGCAATTGCTATGGTCCCATCATCCGATAAACCGTTTCTTTCAATATTAAGAGTTGTTAATGTTGAATTTACTTTTAGTGCTTCTCCAATTGCTTTGGCCCCTTCACCCCATATACTATTAATTCCAACATCAAGACTTGTTATCGTTGAATTTACTGTCAATGCGTCTGCAATTGCTTTGGCCCCTTCATCCGATATACTATTGTTTTCAATATTAAGAGTTGTTAATGTTGAATTTACTTTCAGTGCTTCTGCAATTGCTTTGGCCCCTTCATCCGATATACCGTTTCTTTCAATATTAAGAGTTGTTATCGTTGAATTTACTTTCAGTGCTCCTGCCATTCCTTTGGCCCCTTCATCCGATATCTCGTTTCTTCCAATATGCAGACTTACTATAGTTGAATTTACTGTCAATGCGTCTGCAATTGCTTTGGTCCCGTCATGCGATATACTATTGCTTTCAATATTAAGAGTTGTTAATGTTGAATTTACTTTCAGTGCTTCTGCAATTGCTTTGGCCCCTTCACCCGATATATTATTAAGTCCAATATCAAGAGTTGTTAATGTTGAATTTACTTTCAGTGCTCCTGCAATTGCTTTGGCCCCGTCATCCGATATACTATTAAGTTTAATATCAAGAGTTGTTATCGTTGAATTTACTTTCAGTGCTTCTGCAATTGCTTTGGCACCTGCATCCAATATACTAGTATATGCAATACTAAAAAGTCGTATTGTTGAATTTATCTTCAACGCTTCTCCAATTGCTTTGGCTCCTTCAGCCGATATACCATTGCCTCCAATATACAGACTTGCTATCATTGAATTTACTTTCAGTGCTTCTGTAATTGCTTTGGCCCCTTCATCCGATATACTATTGTTTTCAATATTAAGAGTTGTTAAAGTTGAATTACTTTCAGTGCTTCTCCAATTGCTTTGGCCCCTTCACCCGATATATCATTATCTCCAATATACAGACTTGTTATCGTTGAATTTACTGTCAATGCGTCTGCAATTGCTTTGGCCCCTTCATTCGATATACCATTGCTTTCAATATTAAGAGTTGTTAATGTTGAATTTACTTTCAGTGCTCCTGCAATTGCTTTGGCCCCTTCATCCGATATACCGTTTCTTTTAATATTAAGAGTTGTTAATGTTGAATTTACTTTCAGTGCTGCTGCAATTGCGTTGGCCCCTTCATCAGACATATTGTTATTTCCAATATTAACAGTTGTTATTGTTGTGTTTACCTTCAATGACCCTGCAATTGCGTTGGCTCCTTCTTTCGATATACTGTTATTTCCAAGATCAAGACTTTTTAATGTTGAATTTACTTTCAGTGCTTCTGCAAGTTCTTTGGCCCCTTGGTATGATAGATGTTGATCGCGAACTTCGAGCCATGCTGGATCATTGTTTGTTTTCATCGCTGCGAATTGCATATACTGGTCCTCAACCCATGCCATTCTCGCAGAAGGATAATTGGTGATAATTGTAGATAAATGATGCTAGTGTGCTTGTTGTTGCTATTTATATACCAACCAAGTTGTATTTTTTTGCGATAAGAAGAGGGAGAAAAAGAGGCAAGAGAAATGTTTTTATGTTACATACAGTTGTACATTGGTAGTTTTGGCCGATTCGTCATAGGAATGCTTATTCAACCATACAAATTCATTTGGATACGCACATGATAATATTCGTATGGAGTATCGGCCATTGTAAAAGCCAGTAATGTAGGTATACCTAATACAAAATACGAGAAAGCTTCAATATTGATACTTTCAAACCCAAAAAAGAGATTTTTCAATTTCAATCCCTTATATTTTGTGATATGAAAAAAAGAGAAAATGGCCATTTTGTAGTTGTCGAAAAGCTTCTATCAGCTCGCTATATTGAAGACTTGGCTATAAGACAGGCTCAAGCGGTCGCAGGATGATTTTGTTTCTTTTATCGGTTTTGCCCAAAATCATCATTTTCCAACAGTAGTTTTGAGCACTTAGAAAAATTTGCGTGATTTCATCCAAACCACATGTTATGTCTTCAGATCTGCTTTACCTTAAAGAAAATAATTCTTCTGTTATATCCGAACAGAGAAAGGCGAATAGCTCCGTTTTGTTTCCTCTGCCAAGGCGAAGAAATCAAATTTTCCCTTTCTTTTTAACTTTTAGTAAAATTTTCGTTCGTGGCAGAAAAAAAGGTTTGTATCGAACTTATGATGCAAGAAAAGAAAGTAACATTCTGGGGCACCAGAAAATATATTTTGATTCCACTTTGATGAAGAAAATAACATTTCTTAGGAACGGTTTCTTCGATAGACAAAAGGACCGAACTCATGGGCAGGCCGGCAGGAAATTGCGTCTGCATCTGCTGTGGCCCCTTTTTTTTTCCATATATTGTTATCTTCAATATCCAAAAGCATCCAAAAGTATATTGTTCGCCAAGTTTATACCACATCTCTCGGATTCAAGTACTTAGACTTATGTCGCTGCACATAAACGATTCATGCATGTGCAACTGCTGTGTCCTCATCATACGATATATTGCTTTTCCTTTTCAATGCGTCCGCCTGCAATGGCCGCCTCATACCACCAAACTTGTATTTTTTGCGGTGAGAGAACAGAGAAACCAGACAAAAATATATATTTTGTATTAGATATACCTACATTACTGGCTTTTACAATGGCCGATACTCCATACGAATATTATCATGTGCGTATCCAAATGAATTTGTATGGTTGAATAAGCATTCCTATGACGAATCGGCCAAAACTACCAATGTACAACTGTATGTAACATAAAAACATTTCTCTTGCCTCTTTTTCTCCCTCTTCTTATCGCAAAAAAATACAACTTGGTTGGTATATAAATAGCAACAACAAGCACACCAGCATCATTTATCTACAATTATCACCAATTATCCTTCTGCGAGAATGGCATGGGTTGAGGCGCATTATAGCCAATACTTAGCGATAGCCCAGAAAGCAAGAAACAATGATCCAGCATGGCTCGAAGTTCGCGACTTTTCTTAGGGGTTTGTCAAAGAAATTTTTGCGGAATCTTGTAGCCCATGGTCAATTTAGTGGTACGCCATATTTATCTCCAATGGGTCCTTCCGATTTTTGTGGAAAAAAATTTTGGGAAAAAAAATCAAAAAGATCGGTGCAGGATATATATGTATATATATATACTCTCGCCACGTGTATAATTGACGGTACGAACGGTTCTTTGTCATTTTAAACGAGACAAAAAACAGTGCCTGTTATATAAGGCACTTTATTTCTTAAAGTGGAATACGGCCGGTCTCCATATTCGGGCTCAGCGTGAAAAACGGTATCGAATGGCATGTTTTTCAGCATTTTCCGAAGCGACATATGGTTTTTCAAAATGTTCCATAAAAAAGGTTTTATAGAGACCTGGTTTCTCGGAAAAATTTTGCAAAGCTCCAGGAAATTTCCTATTGCTAGATTCAAAACCCAGCATGTTTAAAAACCTATAAAAATAAAGTTTCATGTAAAAGTACGAAGTTTTCTGATTTATCGAAAGAAGGGACCATAGCAATTGCAGTAGCATTGACAGTAAATTCAACATTAACAACTCTTAATATTGAGAGAAACGGTATATCGTAAGTAGAGGCCATGGCACTTGCAGAAGCATTGAAAGTGAATTCAACAATAACAACTCTTAATATTCGATATAACAGTATATCATCTATAGGGATCAAAGCAGTTGAAGAAGCATTGAAGATGAATAAAACATTAGCAACACTTTATATTGGAGATGACAGTATATCGAAAAACAATTTAGAGAGAAAAACTTATTGATCACCCTGTATTTTCTCTCTGTTTGTTATTTCATATATTTTGTTTTCAGTTACGTATATAAAACCTATAAAATCCCCAACGATTTTATAATTGATTTTCCTAAAGTTTATAAAATATTTAAAATTCGCAGTGTACGAGAAAACTAGTCCACAAAAAAAACCGTCTAGCGAAAAAGCATATCAAGATGGGACGAAAAAACCGTCCATTAAAAAGCGTCAACTTTTCGACGCTTTTTTTTACCGTGTATCTATGGTAGTTGCCCTCCATGTTTGTTCTGTTAAATTACAGACATATTTCATCTCCGATCTGGGCGTTCGGGCTTAAACCTTGTTTTTCACAGGTACGGAGAATTTAGTATTATTTTTTTTGTTTCAATCGAATGTGAAAAAACAAAAGATAACGTAAGGATTTTCACAATAGAAAACAAATATTTGATCAAACGAAAATGAAATAAAACAGTGAAAAACTTCTTGCTTGCCAAAAATGCAACCCAGGCCGAAAGAAAGCATTAGACGACCCAAAAATGATCTAGGACATTGAGTCGAGTGTGGTTTTAGCTTGGACAGGTTTAATTAAACTGAAGTTCAGCTTGGAAATGTAACTCTGCTACCGCAGTGTAATCCTATCACATCTTTTTTGCATTTTGTTTCTTTTATAATTCTCGGATGAAGACACGACAGAGCTCTCCAACGTCTCATATGAAAGAGAAGAATGTGATGGATATTTTGTGGCTTTCGCCCACTCTATACGCTCTTTTGTTTCGAAAATATGTCAGAAACACACACTGCTACTGCAAAGCTCTGAAAGTGTCTTCATTCAAGAATTATAAAAGAAACAAAATGCAAAAAAGAGGTGACGAAATTACATTGCGGCAGCAGAGTTACTTGGCCAACCTGAATTCTGAAAAACTATCCAAGAACATTTGTTTTTGTAGTTATTTCTGCAATGCTTAATATAGTAATAAATCATGTAAGACTAACTCCACAAAACTCCTGTCACGTTTTACAATACATATTCCAAATCGATTCAACCACTATAGTTTTGTAGTTATCTAAAAATCCATCTTCAAACTTTGAAAAAAAGTATCCGGAACATGATTGGCAAGCCACCACAAGGTGATTTCTGGCCAAAAGCGGACCTAATGACGTTCAAGTTTTAGTTTTTCCTAACATTTTAAAGTTTTTCTGAATGAACCATTCGAGAGAGCTCGAGTTGTACTTAGGAAAAATTTTCGAGGTCACAACTGTTGACCTAACTGAATAGGATGGCATCAAAAATTCGCCGAATGAATAAAATAATTTTCTCCACATATTTTTATTTTTGCTGTAAGACGGTCAAAATATAATAAAATACCTACTTATGTACAAAGTAAAAAAGTGCAGTTAACTCACCAAAGCCAGCTGATGAGTTTGAATTGGGCGCTAATCGATAAATTTAGCGCTCACTGTATCATCCGCTTGGAGCTAGCAAGTGGGCATCTGCTCGAATCAGCTAACTACGAGACCCAAAAAATCTACTCTACTAGAACAGCTCCGAACTGAAGGAAATGAGTCATCACGATAAATCTGCATGTGACACACACATAAACGAAGCCTAGAGGCCGCTACATACATGAACATTTCCTCTAGAACCAGGACCGTTTTCTTCGACAAAACTTTCTGTGACAGATTTGTATGGCCCAAACTTTTGACTCTGGTTCCATATAGTACACTGAGAGTACTATTTACTGCAAGTAGTCCGACTTCAACATAAGTTCATTACAACGAGATCAATCGCCCATGGTCGAACCATGGTCTTGAAAGTTTGAGTCCAGTCCGTACGGAGCTCTGGTAAGAGGTATACGTGATATTTGTATGTCATTATATGGTAGACATCGAGTACTATCCACACTGAAAAAATTGCGGTTTCATCTCGTTTGCAGTCGTTCCATCTCAAGTTTGTAGATGTCATCGGAAAACGGTTATTCTAATGTCACTACTATGCGTCTCTGGAATGAAAAATTTAAAATCAGACTCTGTTCTTCTTTAGAGACCATTAATCAAGTTTGATTCTCACCTGTCGAAAAATTAGTATTTAACGGCCATCTTTTTGGTACACAAAGACATTTCTTTCAAAATGTCAACTAAGTGCTGGTAGTTTTTCTGTATCTATGGATTAAGTTCTTTGTTATTCCAGTATAATATTTAATTCATTTTTTTTGAAATAGAAGAATTCGGATTATACACCGCTGCTTGTGGCTGTCGAGTTTATATGTTCGAAGTTCAACCACATATTATAGAGTGTATCACCGAATCAATTCGTGCCAATACTTTCCAATCACGTATTAAACTTTATTACAGCCTTTATTAAAAATGTTTACACCCTTTGAGTATTTTCAATTTTTCTCACTTAAAAAAACGGAACCCTACATATTCGTGGTCAGCACATTAGATTCCATTCAACGATGTATGAATAAAACCCAAATCGTTTCCACTCGAATTTTGCATTGTTGGCACCATACATCTACTCTTGGTAGAATAATATTGTGGCTTTAGCTTGAGAGACTGACATTATATCAGTATCACGATATACCAGTGATATATCGTTCTTTTGAAACAAGACGGTTTCTTTCATCTAAAAGCTTTTGGTTCTAGGATGATAAAGGC